CAACATCTGGTCGGGATAGTTGCCGTACAGTATGATATACAGAAGTCATTCGGTGCCGGAACGATGCCTGCAGGTCTTGCCACGATGGAAAGGACCGAATGACCTCTTGGTGGAACCTGAATTGTATTCCCTTCTATCCCCATCCGTCCACACATTCCCTGGGTCTGGACCGCATCCACCTCTCCCTCGCAGCTAATCTTTCTTGGGTGCTGGTTCCAATCTCTAGTTGCTCACATGAGCCCTCATGACCATCTTGGGCCAACATCACTCCCCCTGAGGAAGCTACCCATGGGCTCATCGCAAATATATAAGAGGCTTTCTCGATGCTCATTGAAAACTCTGCCATCAGCAATTGAGTCTTCTTCGTGCTCACCTCTGCTTTCACAGTGACTCGCGCGCTACCATTGATTAAGACTTGCCCAACTCCCAATCTATCTTACACCTGAAACCCTTTCAATTACATTGTCATTCAACTCTACCTTTTACCTTAACTCTACTCACTCCACAATGTCTGTTTCCTTCGACACCACTGACGTTGCCCCTGCCCCGGTCCCTGTTGTACAGGATGGACCATGTCTCGGCTCCAAGTCCAGAATGCCCGAGTTCAGCCTGGCTGGAAAGGTTGTCTTGGTCTCCGGAGCTGCGCGTGGCCTTGGTTTGACCCAAGCTGAAGCCCTTCTGGAGGCGGGCGCCAAAGTCTACGCTCTTGACCGTCTGGATGAGCCTGTAAGTGTCCTAGGAAGGAGTTTACTATCTACTTTTCTAACGCACAATTCTTCTAGTCCCCCGAATTCGCCATTATCCAGGAGCGTGCTGTGCAAGAGCTGGGTACTGAGCTTCACTACCGTCGCATCGATGTCCGCGACACAGAGCTGCTGAACACCGTGATTGAAACCATTGCCAACACTGAAGGCCGAATGGACGGTCTGGTGGCGGCGGCCGGAATCCAACAAGAGACCCCCGCGCTGGAGTACACAGCCAAGGATTCCAACACCATGTTTGAGGTGAACGTCACGGGAGTGTTCATGACCGCTCAGGCAGTCGCCAAGCAAATGATTCGCTTTGGAAATGGAGGCAGCATCGCCCTAATTGCGAGCATGAGTGGCACCATTGCCAATCGGGTATGTTCCCATCTTGTCACCCGTTACCAGCCCTACTGCTTTCCCCGCTTTGATTCTTCCTTCTCTTGACTTTCTGTGCGACGACTGACTCATGATGCTGTAGGGTCTCATCTGCCCCGCTTACAATGCCAGTAAGGCTGCCGTGCTCCAACTTGGCCGTAACCTCGCCTCTGAATGGGGTCAATACAATATCCGCGTCAACACCATCTCCCCTGGATACATTGTCACCGCCATGGTCGAGAAGTTGTTCGAGCAGTTCCCCCAGCGCCGCGACGAGTGGCCCAAGCAGAACATGCTCGGCCGACTTTCCGCTCCTAACGAGTACCGCGGTGCAGCAGTCTTCCTCCTTAGCGACGCCAGCAGCTTCATGACTGGTAGCGACCTTCGCATGGACGGTGGTCACGCCGCATGGTGATGACATAAACAGTCATACTCATCCTCTTTTCCTTCCGATATCTTACACTGCACTCTGATTATCACGGCACTGATTCACGCATGGCGTTCATTGGAAGCGAGCACTGCACTATAACTGGTTTATCATGACGTCTACCTCTCCATCAGGAGGCGAATTTGTGGTTTCTTTTTTCCCTTTAGCATTTGGTGTCTGGACGGGATGATCGGGTTGATGAACAGTACCTAGAGCTGCTACCTACCACCTGTACCTATACCTATATTATACATACCTATCATCCCTACCTACTACCTACCTACCTAGTTAATCAATAGGAATTTTATTCCCCGATATAGCCATCCCATAATCCCTCCAGTGAAACTGAAATAATTATAACCCCCCACCACCCCCATCAAACCTTCACCCAATAAACATCCCCTAACCCAAACCCAACCCAAAAACAAAGTTACAAAATAGCACCACTTAGCGCGCAGATCCCACCACCCCAGAAAATCGCACATGACCCCACCAAAAAAAGTCCTAGCCCAGTCCAACCTACCATAGGGCAGGAAGTTGAGCAATGTAGTAAGCGTAGTCGTAAGCATACCAAATCATGGATGGATTACTACTTCGTGGTATCTTGCCAAGACCTATCTACTGCCATATTCCCCACCATCGATCCGGGGTAACTAATTACTTACTACCCCACCCAGATCCCCCGCATAACTGCATACGTTTTAGATTCGGTTCTGAACCAGGGTTGGAGAGGTTGATGTGACGTTGGGTTGATGTGTAGATTTATTATAACTACTGTATTTCTAAATTTATGGGTTTTACTTCTTGGTTTTGGTAGTTACTGGGTGCAGTAAGGTTGAAGTAGGTTTGCTCGCTCGCTACCTTGTTCTGCTTTCCGGTGGTTTAACTATTTCTATTCCCACCAGGTAGATATGAACCAAATACTACTTTCGCAGGCTATATGTATCGAGATAGTGGTGGTGGTGCCACTCTCACGCAACACGAAGGAAGCACCCCTATGAACGATGGGTCTATCTATTGGTGCAGTTTCACAAAAGCAAAGTGAAATAGATGTACCCAGACTTCGCCGAGAAAATGAACTGGATTGCCTATTTGGGGATTATACATGGTATTTATTAGCTGAGAGGACAGTCATCACCCTTTTCACCTAACTATCTATGGAGGTAAGAAAGAAGTGACAGAGCCTAAGACGGATATATGTGCCGAGCGAAACCCAAACAAGCCATTCAGCAGCATATTAAAACAAACATAAAAGCAAAACCCGGAAAGAAGTCTCGTGATCCATCTGACTTAGTAACTATTCGAAGTTGAGGTAAAACATTTTGATGCCTAACATATCGCCTGAGCGGCAGAGGCCTAGTCTTTCGATCCAGATGCAAGGGGATCGATTCGTGAACATAATCTAGACCCTTATTCGATACTGCAGTATTAGTGTTTCTGGGGTCTTAGTTCACGTGGTGATTAGGCCTTGCAGGTGGACTATTTTTATTCGTTGTTGGGAATATCACCTGTCTCTTAGGTGAGGCTTACTACTATACTAGTAGTAGTATATAGTTGGATGGTGTTCGACTTCGGTTGGGATCGGATCTTCTCAATCAGCGCGGCATGTATCTACTATATCCCCAATACACGGACAATTCCGGGCGCTTCCCTTCACCACCATCTCATTGGTATATACTCCTTCCCCGGATGATGTGGTCTTGGTTCGATAGTCACTTGATTTTTCCCCGGATCGTCAGCATGACCCTATACTAGCCAACTAGTAGTAGTAATAGCTAAGTAAGTATTTAGTTCCCTCCATCCACATGAATACATACAAGTCCAGTATTTGGCTCGCTTGCCTCCGGTTTACCTGCCTACATAGATCCTACTTCAACAGCCTGACCCAACATTCCATAGTAGCATGATAGATATCAACCAAAGAACCACTGACAACGCATCACGACCGCAGCGTGCATGACATTGTCCATCTTCTGCGTGCAGTATACGCCCCCCGTATCTCTCCGACATTGGTATCCAGTTATATGTTCCTATATGGAAGGCCCACACTTTGCAATCGGCGATAGCATCGACGATGGAGTTTCTTGTGACCATTTCCATTTATTCGATGTGGCGGACATTGATTGATGATTGCTGAAAAGGGAAGTGAGAGGAAGAGAAACCGGGATCTCCTGTTTCGGAATGGCTTATGATGGTTTCTTTTCGTGGAGGGGTGTGATGGGAAAGTCGAATCGTCATCTGGGGATGTGGGTTTCATGGTTGGGATGGGTGTGGTACGGAGGACAATGGGCCTTGTGCTTGTAGTAGTTAGTAGTTTTGTGAGGTAGTGACAGGTGGCTATTATAGCTTAAGTTTGAGGGGTAGATAACAACAATCCTCGATGGTCTAACGGTCATGATTTCCGCTTGTCAATCCTTAATAGGAACAAGCGCGGGAGACCTGGGTTCGACTCCCAGTCGGGGAGATATTTTTGGTTTTTGTTGTCTTTTTGGGTTCTTGGATTTGAATTGATGTTTTTGCTAATTGTTTTACTTTATTCTGTTTTTTATTATGTGTGCTTGTTGTTTTGTTGGTCTGGAGAATGGAGGGGAGACCGTGACAATGTCAAGATTTATATCGAGCATTTTTACCAGTGGCATAACTATATATAACGGCCGAAGTTTACAACATCAGATACACGATCTACAAATGTCATCTAAAACAAACACATAAAAACCCGCGACCTTAGAGCATACTCCGAGAAAGCCAGATGTAATTATCCATTGATCGATTCTCATCAAAGATGCCATGAGGTTGCCCGAAACATCCAGCGACAATTATGGATAACCGAGCAAAGGAAGTATAACACAACCGTTATTGCGAAAACATAACTTGGTATCAAGTGACTGTCCATAAACTGTTTCCGTAAATGTTTCCGTAACAGAGACTTCAGCTTCAACTCTCTACAATGGACATCTGCAGCGATTGGTGTCGATGCAATTTCAGACAATCTTCCACATGTGTATATCTGCTATGCCAAACCCCCAATGCTCATTCCGAGTGAAGATATGGCAGAAGTCCAAATAAAGGTAGCATTCTATTAGACCAAGCTTTGAACATAATCACAAAGGATGTGACGAACCCAAGAAGACTCCGGCTCCACCTTTGGTGTCAATCCAATTGATCAGGTCTATCATGGACCGACTGTGCCTTGGAAGAGAATCAAGTCCCAGTTCACCTGTAGATTCCACACGCCCACAGAATCGCATGAGCTTTGCTATAACGTAGCAACATAACAACAACATGCAGTCCATATATTTAATCCTACGCATCACGCTCATCCACCCCAAACAAGCCATCTACAACAATCCAAACCATCCCATAATAATACAATGCGATTCCATAACCATGCATACATACATCCATTCGCTCCTCCTTATCGTACACTCATTCCCCCCCGAAATTCGAACCCATCAACCAATATCTCCAACCACCCCCCTATCCCCCAACCTCCCCACAACACCACTCTTCAACCTCAATAGCCTCTCAATCTCCTCCGCCGACAATCCCTGCCTATCCCTCATCGACAAGACCTGCCGAATGGTAAACGCATCAACAAACTCCCTGCCCTGAAACCCGGATCTCCCCATCGCCTCGAACTCCTGCTCCGCGGCCTTGGTGAGGCGCTGCCGCGCCGAGAAAACCAGTAACGCCGGGTTAGATGCGGGCGGGAAGACGGTAGGCGCGGGTTGTTGGCGCGCAAAGGTGCTAGTGTGGGAGAAGGTCGGGTTAGGAGTCACGGGGCCAATGGTGCGAAGTTGTGCGGCGAAGTCGGGGTCGCGGCCGTCGAGGTCGATTGCTTTGTAGAGATATTGTTAGATTGGGTTCTGGGGATGGGTTGGATGTACGTACCTGATGAGCGCTCGAGGGAGGGAGGTTCTTTGGAGTGGTAGGTTGGTCCTGTGGGAGGTGCTCGCGACGGTTGTCGCGGTGGTTGTGGTTGTGACTGTGGTTGTTGTCGTTGCTGTCTTGTGGTTTTAGATGCTGGTGGTGGTTGTGCTGGGGAGGAGGTCGGAGGAGAAACGGGTTGTTTTGGGTATTGGCGCCGCGAGACAGCCTGGGCGGCGGATCTCGCGGGCTTGGAGGATGAGGCGCCCATGGGTTGGCGGATCTGGAGGAATTGAGATTGCGGATCTGGGGGTGGAGCTGGGGTTTAGCACTGATGTTCTGGAAGCATAATAATTGCGGTGGTGGTGATGATCGGTTTTACATGGATTCATTTGCCTTCTGCAGAGGATCGGGCGGACTAGCCCGTTTGGGATGATGGACTAGCCGCGCGGGTGACGTCAGCCATTACGAATTATTTACTTGTTCTTTTGATATTGTTGCTGCTGTTGTTATTGTGGTTTGGGAGGTGGGAGACCCCTGACTGTCTAGGTAGTATTTTTATAGAGATGTGTTATAATAAGTATCGTTTAGTAGATGCGAAAATCCTATTCATGTCTGTTTTGCTACACTCATACAGTAAGGCTTGTCTGCACATGCCTGGTTCCCTACAGGAACACTACTTCAAAGATACTCACTCAGGCAGCAGTAGTCCAGTACTGCGTTTACCTGAGTCCGGCAAGCCGTCTGCCCTGGACTTCACCCAGAGCGCGGCTACCGCTGACGAATGCGACGGATCCGGCCACTGCGACGGCAGGGAGGATCTGGAAGAGAGTCCAAGAACTATAGTACAGGAAGAAGATGCCCTCGATGGAGAGGAGGGAGCCAAGGAACACAATGTGAGGGATAGGAGCCGACTTCAAGGCGGTAGGCAGGTGGTTGACGTTGACGCCGAGGAAGAGCCACTGGAGCAGTGTCAGAGACGTATTGAAAAGAAAGTATAGAGTAGAACTTACCACACCACCCAAAACAGGCAGAGTAGCGAGCACCATGGCGACAAAAGCCAGCGTGATCACAATGGGAGGGCTCTGAGGGTCGCTCTTGAAGATGTGGTGGATCTCAGGAAGCTTTCCATACCGCGAAACCTCGACGGTCGGGACGGGCTCATCGGCGTTACGGGTCACATCCAGCTGGAAGGCAGCAGCATTGTATGCGGTCGACTCGCCGAAGGATCCGATCAGGAATCGGGCCTCAAGAGGCTCGGAGGCGGAAAGGAATTGAACGGGGAGGTCTTTCTGGGTCTGAAGTATACATCAGCTAGGCCCTAGCTGGTTCTGTGTGAAGTGCAAGCCACCTACCAGGTCAAGCCTGGACTTGCCATTGTCTTTGACGTTGAAAGGGTATGAAATGTCCAATCCGGTCTCAGGATCCTGGAGGAGGAGGTACACTTGGTGTGCGTGCTTTCCGGTGCGTCCTTCTTGAGCTGTCAAAGTAACTTTCAAGGTATCGGCAACTCCAAGGGCGATGGGCTTGGTAAGAGCTTTGTTATCGGGGATACTGTCAATTGAGAGATACCATCAGTTCAAAAGTTCCAGAAGAGCAAGATAACATCGTAGAAAATAAGAAACGTACACCTCCTTTACGCCCGCACCGACACCAGCGCCTTTGGTGTTTACTGACACGGTGGCATCAGTAAATCCCCATGCGGAGGCAGCCGCGGTCGGGATAGCAGCAGAAGCCAGCAAGGAGAGCTGGAGAACGGAGTGCCACAGCTGCATGATGAGCGAGAGACCAAAACCACAGCGACCAGGCAGTGTAATGAACGGAAAAGAAGAAAGCGACAAGGCCAAACACCGGGGATATAGCGAGAGGAATGGGAAGCTGGAGCGACGACACGAACAGGCCGAAGCGGAAGATGCGCTAAGATAAGCGCCCGCGGCTTTGGGGCAAGCGGCGGTCCAGTGACCGCCCGCCGCCCGTGCAAGCCCTAATTTCCCGGCATCTCGATGGAGTTCGGGCTGCCAAACATTTCTTCTTCGCTCCCTCGTCCGGACTATCGGGTTTGTCTGCCACTGTTGCGATCCCGGAGATCCTCGAACGGCTCAATAGTCGCTCCTTTGCATTTGCGCCATGTCTTTTATGCCTCTCCTCTAGCCCCGGGAGCCCCCCTGCGCCTGCAGTTTGCCTTGACGTTCCGACTCCTCGCCTCCGCTTCACCGACGGGCCACCCTGGTCTCCGATCACGACGAGTTGGATCTGGGCGGTTGTGGTTACAATTACAACGAGTATAGCTGGATATTGGTACGTGGAGAAGATTGTTGGACTGCTTCGTGCCCCGTTGGTGGTTCATGCCAGGTGTTCTGGGTTTCCAGGAGGTGCCGCTCCTGCTTGCCTCCGTTTTCCGAATCGTCCATCGGCCCTCATTCCATTCACTGACTCTCGCCTCGTCTCACAGGCCCGACAAGCCCCAAATCCCCGTCGCATAACCCTTCCGATCGAATCCCTTCATTTCGACAGGAATAGACTCTGTAGTTCGCCTGCCATCCTGTCCGTTACCTCCGAAGTATCAGTGGTTGTATAATACAGGATTCGGCCGGGACAAGCCGTATTTCGGGGTTGCTGAAGGGATTGAAGTGATTGAGAAACAGTGAACAAGTAAGCCGAACAAAGACCTGAATCCCGTTTTGGGACTTGGGGATTCACCTGGATGAGGCTATTCACTGCGATGGAAGCTAATAACACTGAAGTGGTTGGTAGGGCTTCTGTTGCGAGGGAACTTGGGTCCCCCGCTGCTCTCTCCCTCGACTTGACTCCCGTAAGTCTTCTGCATCTTTCTGCCTCGCGTCTCTTTCTTCGATTTCTAACCAGATCTCTAGAGAGAAACACGTCGAAGTTCGTCTCGTGCGTCACGTAAAACAACTTGTGAACCAGAAGCTCTCCCTTCGAACTTATCTCATTCTTCTATTTCATTACCCCCAACACCTGTCACAACGTCATTCGAAGAACAGTTCTCTTCTTCCAAACGTCGCAAGACGCATCGTTCTGCCACTGTAGACGAGAAAATAGGTTTGAATCAAGAATCTGCCCAAACCCCGAATCAACAAGGTTCTGGTGGTCCCTCGCAGATATCCAACAGCGTCCCTAAGAAAAGAGGACGCGGCAGGAAATCGGCCTTAGCCAACGGTGAGACCGTGCAACCTGCAACTCCTGCTTCCAATCCCAAGCAACAGTCACAGTCGACGTTGCATAACTTTCTGTCAAGAACACTCAAAGATCGACGCAAGTCTCTTGTTACTCAAAACCCGTCAACAAACCCCACCATGTCTACTTCTAACGTCTCCTCTCCCGCCATGAACTCTTCCGCTTCCAACAGCCGCAAGACGCGTAAGTCTATGCCAGCAAAGCTGAACGGCTTTGAGAACAGCGAGAAGACTTCTTCCGTGGACTCTACCTCTTCTCTCACATCTACTCCCAACGCTCAGAGCGGCAAAGCCGATAAAGCTCCCGCTAATTCTGCTGCGTCTGCCACCACTGCTGAAGCTGCTGAAGCCCAGGAGGCTAGCACCAAGCTTGCAACACCTGCTACGCAGCCTCGCTCTACTCCTCGTACCACGACTGCGAGATCTCGTCGCGCCGAACGCAAATCCAGAATGGCTGCGACTCAGAATTCCAAATCAGTGCAGTCTACTCCCGTCTCTGCAGTGAATCGAAGCAGTCACAAGGCTGCCAATTCACAGGTTGCTACTCGAACCAGTTCGCGACCTCAGCGATCTACTCGAAAGTCTGCAATCAACGCCGCAAGCCAGGCCGTGGATGACGCTTCTCTTGAAACACCTTCTTTCCCGAAGACGCCCTTTGGCCGCGTGGTTGCTGACAGCATTGAAAGTACCCCTGCTCTTGACAGCAAGGCTGAATTCGACACCATGTCTGGATACGACTTGGATACCCCCGGAATCGAACGCAGTACTCCGTACGGCGAAAGTTTTCCTTTTGAATACCATGCTGATATGTATGGAAACAAATTTGGTCTTGATGGTTCCAATGAGGGCCCAGGATCCCCAACTGCCAGCTACTCAACCACTACGTCAGCTGCGCGCACTTCTGGAAGAACCAGAAAGCCTACCATTAAAGCTATGGAATCTTTGGAATCTGAGCGGCGCTTCCGCAGAAACCGTGCACCATCATCTAAGCCAGAGTCTGCTCTCAAGGAAGTAAAGGGCAAGGCAGCAGTCAAGAAGACGCGTGCCAACAAACAGGCCAATGCGAAAACAGCTGGTATTGCACAAGCGTCGAAGGCAGGTGTCGATGGAAAATGGGCAGTTTTAGCAAACCGCCTGCTTGACCTGGCCGCGGCAGCTGTTGCTCCAGAATTTGAGCAGTCATCGGAAGCTGAGGGCTGGATCGAAGAGTTACGCAAGGAGTACCTGGAGAAGCAGGAGAAGAAGACCGAAACTCCAGCGGTGCAGTCCGAGGCGGAGCCCGTGACCGAGGCCGCATCCGAAGCGCAGCCCCAGGCAGAGATCGGCGTTGAGGGAATAAGTAAGCCAATCTCTACGTCCGAGACGCACCGGTGGACTGACGAGGATGGGTTCGTTTTTACAGGCCAAAAAAATAAATTTGGCGAAGAGCTTGTCGTTGTAGGCGAAGGCTATTCTTGGTTCCGCCCTAACAACACCTACGGAGACAAATTGCTCCCCCAGCCTCCAATTCGTCTGAAGTCTCATGAACAGTTCGAGAAGGACCGCATCTTCGGATATCCCCCACGCATGGGAGAGCGCAACTTGCCTCAGGATAACAAGATGCCTTTCTTCTTCGAAAACGTGGACGAGGTCAAGGCGACAATCAAGGCTCGGGAGGAGGCCCGCAAGAGAGGAATTGCCGTTGATCGAATGATGCCGGCTGCCTACATCCAAACCTTGATCGCTCAGCACGATGAAACCGCCCCGAAAGACGGTCCAGGTGAAGTGAAAGAGGCCAAAGAGACCAAGGAGCCGACTCGCAAACGGCGCCGCGGCGGCGAAGCCTCAGAGACTACTCAAGTGCCCAAGCGACGCCGGAGGGAGCCAGAGCCGGAACCAACTCCACCAGCTGAGCCGCCCAAGACGCTGCGCATCAAGCTGACCTTGAAGGGAGGAGCGGGTGCAGCGACCAGAAAGCGATCCCATTCTGAGATGGAAGATCAGCCCGCCGAAATGAAGCCTACCGAGACGAAGCCCGCTGAGGGAAAGAGTCAGCAGGAGCGATCCAGCCCTTCCAAAATCCTGAAGCTCGGTCTGCGTCGCAATTACACTCAAGAGATGATCAGACGCACAACTCCAGAAGATCTTGCGATGGGCCCCCCGGAACCACCCAAAGACATCTATGAGGCTTTTAATGTAACTCCCCCTTCTGGACCGCCACCCCGAAACTTCAACACAGCTCCTGGAGGACGTCCCCGTCGCCGTGCTGCGGCTGCCCTGATTGCAGAATTTCAGAATCACGCCGAGGAGAGGGCTCGTCGCGCCAACGCACGCAAACGGAACGTTCCATCGGACAAACCTGACGATCCTAATACTAAACCCAACGGCCAGCCGAATGGCCAACCCAACTGAGACAGTTCTCGATCGTCAGGCTTCACTCGTCCATCGAAAACATCGCATGTTCGCGGTCTGCGAGGCACCTCGACTCGCATACCAACCCGCAGACCGTGAACAGACTGGTCATTGAATAATTTAAGGCTCTCATGAAGTGTGGTTGTTTCTCTCGTTTCTCAATGGCCAGTCACTCATCTAACTTACATGATACATCGCATGTTGGCGGTCTGCGTGGCATCTCAACTCGAATATCAGCCCGCAGACCGCCAACAGACGGGTCATTGAGTAGTTCAAGGCTTTCATGAAGTTAAAGTGGTTGTTTCTCTCGTTTCTCAATGGCCAGGCACTCGTCTAACTAAGAAATTACATCGCATGTTCGCGGTCTGCGAGGCACCTCAACTCGCATATCAGCCCGCAGACCGCGAACAGACTGGCCATTGACTGATTGAAAGGCTTTTGTTGAAGTTAAAGTGGTTGTTTTTCTCGTCTCTCGATCAATGTTTGCAGTCTGCGTGGCATCGCAACTTGGGTATCAGCCCGCAGACCGCAAACAGACTGGCCATTGAGTGATTTAAGGCTTTGATGAGATTGAAGTGATTGTTTATCTCGGTTATCAATGGTCAGTCTACACTCGTCCAACTTATAATACATCGCATGTTCGCAGTCTGCGTGGCATCTCAACAGGAACCTCAACCCGCAGACCCGAACAGACTGGCCATTGGGTGGTTGAAAGGCTTGACGAAGTCAAAGTGATTGTTCGTTTCGATTTACGTGTCTTCGAATCTGCGAGGCATTCGTCTCATTTCCACATCAGCCCGCAGATTCGTTTTCGATTTACCATTGATTGGGGTTTTACGCTTGATGAAGATGAAGTGGCTGTCCAACTTTTCATATTTCTCAGTCGGTTCGGGTCTGCGTGGCATCGAACCTGGCATATCAACTCGCACACCCGAACCGATTGACCATGGAGTGTGTTTTGATGCTTGATGAAGTCACAGTGGTTCAAATATCTCATATCTCTCACTCTGTTTGGGTCTGCGTGGCATCTCAACTTGCATCTCAACCCGCAGACCCGACCGTTGAATGTGGTTCGAAGCTCGATGAAGTTACTGTGGCTGTTTGCATCTTTCAATTCTCTTACCTTGTCACCGGATCTGCGAGGCAACTCATATCTATCCCAACCCGCGGATCCATTCCAACTGTTCATGCTTCTTTCCCATGGTCAGCTTTTCTGTCTCTTTTTCTCTTTTCCTCTCACTCTCAATACTACGGAGTTAAGGGAATCATTTCGAGCCATTCGTGCATAGCGTTCAGTTTCAAAGGCAGGCGATGAAGTTATTGGCGTTCGCTTAGAATCATGCTTTGCTTGTTGCTTTCTTATTCGGTGGTCATTCGAGATCTAGAATGGACCTGGACTCGTTGTATTATCTTGTTTTTCTCTTCTCTTTTTACTTCTATTCTGTACTGTAGGATGAGTTTTAATTCTTCGAACTTCGAAATTGGGTGGAAAGCTACGGCAAATAGCACAGCGGGTTAATTAAATACTACAAATGAAATGAGTACATACTTATTGTGCACTGTTGTAGAATCAGTCAACTTAGCTCTGGTAGATCGGTATAGAACAACATAGATGGAGAGTGATGCCTCAGGCACAAAAGATAATAATCCGACCCTTAAACCACCTGACTTTTCCGCCTCCATCCATCATTCATCCAGCCTTCATAACCATTCATTCCTACGGAGTACTTACATTCCCAATAATCACCCATTCAACATCACTCACTCACTCAACCAAACCAATTCCAAATAAAAACCCCCGAGTGAACCAAACAAAGGAAAGAAAAAAGAAAGAAAGAAAGAAAATGCAGCCCCCCAAACCAAGAGTGATCATGGACCCTCACCACCGCCAACCACTACCACCCCGTGGACAACGTCCAGCAGGAGCAGTGAAAGATATCCGCCAAACAAAAGAATATAAACTTGCTGCGAGACGGTGAGCCACTAACCCCATCCCATCCACTTCTTTCCCTTCCCTTCCCATTTCTTCTAAGTAAAACTAACTAACGTGGGATGGGAATGGGTTCATAGATGGATATCAGTAATGGTGGGATTGCCCATCTTGATGTATACGTCTTGGAGTTTGTATGAGAGGAGTATGTAACCTTTCTTCTTCTTTTCTTCTTCTTTATCTTCCAGGATTTTGCTGTGCATGCTGACGAGGTGGGGTTTTGTGTAGCGTATGGGGATAAGAGGCCGAAGAGATTGGTGGAGAGGTCGTCTGCTTCTTCTACTACTTCTATTACTACTTCGGGGGTGAGTTCTGGGAAGGGTGAGGGGGAGGGGGAGAAGTAAGTAAGTAGGGATTGATTATAGGATGGGTGGACTTGAGGGTAGGGATGGATGTATTGTATTGTATTGTATTTATATGAGGTATGAATTGCGGTGGTTCTTGCATTGGGGAGGAGTGTATAATATTACTTGTTCGTTCCTACGCTGTGCCTTGAGTGGATAATTAAGATGGCTAATAGTTGATTGTGGAATGAGGAAAGAAGGATCTGGATATCTACCGAGGTAGTCACTATCGATATTTTCGATATATAGTTACATGAAGTGATGATATGTAATTTAATACATACAACCCATCAAGATAGTTAGCTAAGCAAAACACTCCGCCCAATCACCCCCAGATCTAGCAAAGCTCAACCCCTTCACAAAGCTATCCCGGGTACATCTCCCCAAAGCATCAGCCGGACAACCATGCAGCGGGACAACGCGATCATTAACCAAGACACGGACCAGCGGCTCCTGCTCGGCCTGGCACTGCATCATCTCAACGTACAGACGCGAAGCAAACGGAACCGTCCAAGCAGACGAAAATCCATCTGTCTGGGTGATATTCTCCACGGTCGTGGTAGACAGCGGCTTGGTGCCGTTATACAGACCCAAAGCAAAGAGGATAGAGATGATACCGTTATCGTGGGAAAAATCCGCGTAGAGAGTAGAGTTGAGCGGAAAGGTAGTCGGGTTAGAGTCCAATGTGTGGTTGGAGCTGGTGTCATCGTGGACAGGCGAGTGGGTGAGACGGGCGATGAGCTCGTTAGCGTAGCCGACGCCCTGGGTCGGGCCGAGCGGGTTACCTGCGCCATGACCGTAGTACTTTTTCAGGGACTGGAGGTAGTCGTAGTTGATCCATTCTTCGTGGGTGAACAGGTCACAGAAGGGGGACAGCTTGGTGTCGACGGTGTTAGTGGAGATAGTGTCGAAGGAGCACATGTCCATGAGGTAGGTCACTTCTGTGTCTGTGAGAGACACGCCAGACAGGTCGTTCTCCAGACGTTGACGAATAGAGGGGACGAACGTGGCGGTGAAATTGGCTTCGACGGTATCGGCCAATTCGCTGTCTTCAAAGACAGTGCAGGTGCCTGGGTCGAGCGTGTTGTTGGATGAGCTGGCCTCGGAAATGACCACGTCGATCTTGGGCGACGATTGGCCAGGCTGGGCACGAGGATCCTTCAACTTGGTGCTCTGGAAGCCCTCGATGAATTTCTTGCCGGAGGCGATCACGCGGCTGGAGCCAGAGGATCGGATGAATGGAATGATGTTCCTTGTGAGCGATTCGTATCGCTGGTAGAACTTGATGCCGGAGTTGACTAGCTCCTGTTCTCCGAAGGGAGTCAGGTCATCTGCACCCAGGCTGTAGTTGTATGTCTTCAGGAAGGCATATTTTCCATCAAAGGTGGTCGCGTTCTGCTGAATCTCCTCAATGAGAGCGGAGTATTTCTTGCCCTTGGAGTCGGTCGGATACCGCGCTCCATGACGGGAGAGGACCTGAGCGAAAGTGACTCTGCATCCGGCGGGCACCTCAGGGGAGATGACCGATTCGTTTGCCAGAGAGAAGAACGGTGCGTATTGACCCCAAAGATGCGAAGTCTCGGAGAAGCATTGATACCCCTGATCGACCGTATCGCAAGTGGATTGATTTCTCGAGGCGGGGACTGCCAGTCCGGAGGTGACTCTGCACAGATAGTCAGCGATCAGTAGTCCCACACAGTCCGAGCTTCAGGGGCCCTCGGAAGGGAGGGTCCTTATTAGACTTTGATAGTGGTGCTTAGCATACCCAGACAGGAGATACAAAGGAAGTAGAACAGCAGAGACGCCCATGATGCCTATGAGAAGTAATTTCTTGCACAGCAGCGAGTGGCAGCTACGGCCATCGCGCCGGACCGGACGGTCCTCATATAACCCCTTCATCCCACCTTGGCATGGTGTGTGATTTTCTACCAGTTCAGGTTAGAAGCTCACAAAGGTGGCCCACGTGCAATGGTGGGATGGATCTTCAGCGGACGAGGCCGAATAGGACGGGAAGTCGACAGGGGACGGAGATATCTAGTGGGAGAAGTGGAGGAGCTTTCTCGAGAGAAAGGCAGCAGATGGTGTTAGTTCCATCTTCATTTATTGCATTCAAGTTGATCGTTGATCCAGCATTGCCGTGGGACGTCTTGATTGGCTGAATCAGAGCACGTGGACGGCGGAAGTTCCCCGTTGGGAAAAGGTGCCTGGATGCCCTAGGCCGCCATCATTTCTCTTAGCAAAGATCTACATGAATGCTTCCACGGCTGAAGATTCTCGGATGCATGTGTCATCAAGTTGTTCCTGTTTATGCTATACAATCTATTTTGCTGTGCCGAAAGCCCGAAAGGACGTGGGGAAATCATAAGAACAGAACGCCGAATGATGAACATCGCCCTCGCTCATTAAAAGTCAGATAACGGCAGTGTCTATAGCCCAATATGAGAAGAAGCAGAAAATCATTCAAAGCAATTTATTTGCTGACATTGCTGCATGCAGCAAGGAGTATCTTCAAAAGTCCACCGTGCAGGCCGTTTAACTCATAGCAAAGCGAAGCAGAGAAACCCAACGCCACCCAACACTTAACCAACAATGGAAAAAAACCAGGAGAGATATAACTGAGTAAATGTGTACGATAAATGTATAAGATAGACAAGTTGCACGATAATACCCGATCATGGAAAGACAAACAAGAGGTAACGACAAAGCCACCTTTCAAAATACCACCCGTCCATACACCTATTTCATATGCTGATCACACGAATCGTGCGCAGAGAGCTTTTCCCAATGCTTAAGATGACTTAGCCTCCGGAGGATATGGAAAGAAAACAAGCCTTTTAGGAACTTTTATGGCTCTCAGTCCCTGATGCGCAAGGGCACGCGGAGGTCGATTACATGACAAAAAAGGAAAATAAGAAATGAAGATATCTCGAGAATGCGTGTCCCACTGGCATTAGTAGCCCTCCCTGCGAGCCGCCAGAAGTATCGTAGAGTAATCCGATACTCGAGATGTCAAAGCCAGATTAGGCGTCCGATGTTCACGTTTGCTATTCATCTCTTCAAGAGCTTCGCGCCCATTGTCCCGGAAACTGGGGCAGTGATCTTGCTTGCTGGTCGTCGGGCAGCAGACCTCGGTCAACGTGGGCTGCCGGATACGAAGTCGGAGTGGCCGACCACGTCACGGGCGGCCTGGTTGACGAACCGGCCATCAGGTGAGATGGCGCTGGCGCCAGCTTCCCACTTCCAGAAGTGTTCTCGACCATCTTTCTGGCCTCCGAGGCATGCCATGTGGCCTCGCGCTCAGAGGCGGTGGACTCGAAAGGCGGTCGTAGGGTAAGCGGGGATGCTGGCCTGGCCGGAAGCTGACCTGTAGGCACCAAGCGGGAGACGTGTTCACGGAAGAAATCCCTCTCAGAGCGATAGAAATCCCGTTCCTGCATCAGAGATCGGATTTGATCGTCACGCCTTTTCAACTCTTCAGTCTTCTTCTGGATCTCCTCCAGCTGCCCAGCGATCTTCTGCTCCAGCTGCATCTCGTTTCTCTTCCGATTCCGGAACCGCCTCGATGCATCACTGTTCGCCTTTCGTTTCTCTGCTTGGCTAGAAGACCCTGATTTCAGATCTAGTATGCAAGGAATCATGCCAGGGTAAGGGGGATTCTCTGGTTGGGCTCCCGTAGTAGCCGCTTCTTCCCCTGTGGACCTTGGTCCTGCTATGACTGAAGGCAAGCGAGCGGCGGGCTCACTGGATCCGTACGCGGATGCATTGAGGAACGACGGTGTAGTTTGCTGCATTGGCGCAGCAGACACTGCTGGAGATGACCGCCCGAGCTGACTGTAAGCAGAAACAGGGGTTGTAGGGCTTGTTTCCTGGGAGCTTGGGGCAGGCGTAGGGTTGGCGCTTGTCCGACGGCTGTGGAAAGTTGGAGTCGAATGCATGGAGATTGGAGCCGGTGCAGGATGCGTAGATGTCGAAACCGACTGCCCAGGATATGGATCAGCGGATAGGGGAGAGCCAGGAGCTGCTGAATAAGAGGCTAGACGAGATGGGTGAGCCAGAGGAGACTGTGAAACACCCAGTCTCTGGGCGTAACCACCTCCCGTTGAAACAAACCGCGCAGAAGGAGAAGCTGGGGCGATGGCCTGATGATGCTTCATGGCGGGGGACGCAGAGAGACGTTTTGCTGGGTGAACGGAGGGAGAGGGAAGATGGACTGATGGGGAGGAGGGCAGTCGGGCATGGGATGGTGACGATGAAGTAGTCGGCACCTGGGACCCTAATGGTTCGCGACCGGGTTCTGCCGCAATGACTGCTGCTTTTGACGGTGGGTTCAAGATCGACTCAACGCCGATGGAACGAAGCTGAGTAGATTTCACGGAAGGTTCCACAGGAGCTGATGGTTGCCAGGAAAGAGGCCGGGGACGCACAGGGTCCGGTCCATCGGAAGATGCAGAGTCATCGTCTGAGCGAGGCCGCTTTCTACCAAACGTACTGTGATCCTCGGCCGGATGTGCATCGCCTGGGGAAGGACCAGTCAAGGTGGACGACATATGCTCCGATTCTCTTTCGATAGATCGATGGAGCGACCTAGGGCATTGCTGGGCCCCCTCTCTCTCTAGATGAGCTGGAGACTCGTGAAGAGCTGCCTGAGAGAGGGAGCCGGCGGGTTGGGCAAGATGGTAGCCTGACAGCGAATGATATTGTTGCGAGGAATGAACCGGGTGGGAGTATGGAAGACTCGCCAACACACTGATCCCGAGGGTAGCCACGGTGAAAGGAAAATCACGGAACCAATAGAGATAAAAATAAAGGGACAAAAGGAGGACCAGGTGGGAGAAACCCGGTTGCTTCAAGGGAAGAAGTGAAACCTCAATATCATACACCCGGTGGTGCTGCTTGTTCCCGACTAGGAGGGTATTGTTGGTTGCAGAAAAGACAGAGGAAGAAAGAAATGAGTACTACACGATAGTGACCAGCAGTATACCGGATGTAGTAGTCGTAGG